CAGAAAGAAAAAGACAGAGAGAGAGAGAGAGAAAGGGAAGCATCCTCAGCAGGGTCTCACACCACTGCCCTCTTGTTGCCTTCCCAGCCAGCATGTGCCCGGTGTGGACAAGCTGACCCAGCAACCAAACCCAGATCTTCCGCACAGCTTCTGGCATTGCAGAGTCACTGCTGGACAAACCAGATCCTTTTGGATGGCTATCCGGGTTGTTTCCAGTCTTGTCATTGCATAAGAGCTGTTGTATAATAGAGAACTGTCCATGACTAGCACGTCGCCTGGTGCAGACACGCAGTTGTCCATGTGGGATCCCCTCTGTTAACCATTAGGCCACGAGCTGGGCCCGCACAGGTTGTATATCATACAGCTCTTATGCAATGACAAGACTGGAAACAACCCGGATAGCCATCCAAAAGGATCTGGTTTGTCCAGCAGTGACTCTGCAATGCCAGAAGCTGTGCGGAAGATCTGGGTTTGGTTGCTGGGTCAGCTTGTCCACACCGGGCACATGCTGGCTGGGAAGGCAACAAGAGGGCAGTGGTGTGAGACCCTGCTGAGGATGCTTCTCTTTCTCTCTCTCTCTCTCTCTCTCTCTCAAGCTGTTTTTCTCTCATGGAAAAAAAAGAAGAAAGAGACAGCAGATGGTGTAGTGGTTGGGGTGTTGGATTCCCACATGGTCGACCATAGTTCAGGTCCTGGACTCGACAGCTTGAAACTCATGCTGTGTGTGTGTGTACACATGTGCGCGTGTGCACATGGGTCTAATATCACAAGAGAAGAATGGAGGAGACGGGATTGCAGCTTGGTATCCCCCCAGGGAGTAATTTCTCATTTTCCCTTTCTCTGTCTTTCTCTTTAGCGAGCGTGTGTGCCCAATGGCAAAAACCTAAAAAAAAAATAAATAAATAAAAAAGAATATTTATCGATATAATCACGTCTGCCCCATGAAAGTTGCTGCAGGTGTGAAGAATGGGTATTACTGTGCCCTCCACGAGGAGGCAGAGGTCCTGGAGGCAAGCCCGAGAGCTGCACCTACCTTAGTGCTTCCAAGCTGATCTGCAGAGCCCTCCCGGTAGGTGTTCAGGTACCCGTCCACCAGAGTGGTGAGGTCAGACATCATCTCATCCAGGAGGACCAACCGAAGAGGAAGCAGGTAGGTAGTTTCCAGGGCCAAGATTTTCAGCAAAGAGGGTGAAAGAGGTCGTGTAAACCATACTTCTGGATTTTCCTAGAAACGCAGAACAAGTTTCTCTGAATAGTAAGCAAAACTTGTACAAAAATAACTAAGTGCTTAGTTTAAAAAAGTCATTTTCTTTAAGAATTATTTATTAATTTAATTCTATTTGTTATTATTATTATTATTTTTAAATTTGAACAGAGAGACAGAAAGGGAAAATGAGAAAGCAAGCCACCAGTTCTAGGACTCAAAGCACGGTCAGCCTATGGGAGTCCAGCGCCCCAGCCACCACACCACCCACTGGCCCTAAAAAAGTCACTTTCTTCATCTTAAGTTCATTTATTTCTTCCACGATAGAGGGAGATGGGGCAGAGGAGGAGGCACACCCAACAGGACCTTCACTCCATGACCCTACCCCCAGTTTAAAACAGCCAGGATCTCAGCATGTGTATGTGCTCTGCGTGTTCAGGAAGACCTTGGGATGCAAACCTGGGACCTGCTCACATGGCTTCTGCGACGTGAGCGTTATGTTACTGTGGCACCACTACCGCTGGCGTTTTCTTCTATTACCTTCTGTTTTCATTTATAGCTAACCTGCTGACACACAGTGTGCGTGACAGAGAAAGAGGGGTGAGGAGAGAGGCTGGTAGGTTAGGACTACTCACCCAGTACTGGAGACAGCAGCTTGACTATGTGACCAAAATTGTAACCAATATGGGCATGATCTGAATTTACATGCAAGGATATTAGAAACTAAAGAACATTTACCATATTTTGGGAGACATAAGTGGAATGATTTTGGTTCAACTGCCTTAATCTGAATCCCCACAAAAATCTCTCCCTTGTCCCAATTTGAAAACTTATTTCAGAGTACTTTTTGTTTGTTTTCTGTTTCGTTTTGCTTTTGGCTATAGAGCATGTGCGCTAGCTTGAGAGAGACAGAGAAAGTGAGAAATCACTCCCTGGGGGGATGGCCACACCACAATCTCTTCCCCTTTCTCCTTGGGATCTTGGGCATGCATGTACACACGCCTGGCATGTTTTTCAAGCTGCTGGGTGCAGGATTTGAACTGCGGTATTGGCCATAAGGGATCCAGCTGCCTTAACTACATGCCACCTGGCCAGCCCCAGAGTACCTTTTGTCATGATAGAGCATGTATGTGTGCACAGGAATGAGAGGGAGCAAAGGAGAGGGAGAGAGGGCTAGAAGGAGAAATAGAGAGAGAGACGCATCCTCCACAGGACCCAGCACACTGTGATCTCCTTCTAGCCCTCCAGCCTTCCCGGATTCCGGGCAAGCATGCAGGCGCCTGACACCCAGCAGTTTCAGGCTGACCAGGTCAAGGACTCAAACAGCAGTGGGTATGTGGCTTCCAGGTCCACAGTCCAGTACACTACCAATTGTACCAAGGGGGCCTCGGAGCACTGTTTCTGTTTGTTTTAGGTTTTTGCCATAGGACATGTGTGCTCAACAGAGAGACAGAGAAAGGGAAAATGAGAAATAACCCCCTGGAGGGATGGTCATGTCCCAATGCCTGCTCCTCCATCCTTCTCTAGGGATTTTGGGTGTGCACTCACACGCATCTGGTGTGTTTCAAGCTGCTGGGTCTGGGACTCAGACCATGGTCAGCCATGTGGGAGTCTAGCACCTTAACCACCACACCACCTGCTGGCCCCCTCACAGTACTTTTTAACTGATAACCAACGAATCTGGATCTCACTTTTATCCTCTTGGAGACCACACATTATTCCCAACTCGAACAACGAAGAGTTTGGTGATCGGCTTACATGCTGACAGGGCAGCAGTCGTTATTCTGTATAATTCCTGATAATCCTGCTCAGAGAACACCTGAAAAAAATTAATGTCATGTGAGACATTCTTTAACACTAACCTGAATTAGCTTTTGTCTCTCTTCTAGGAAGGAGAGATATTTAGGGGCTACTTTAAGGTGCCTGATTAAACTCTCTTGCAAAGTACTGATGCAGTTTGGAAGAAAGCCACCCGTTTCCATGGAAAATTGAAGGACATCTGCTACCTGTGATATTATAAAAAAGACAAACAGACGAGTCAAATATGTGGCAGAAACAGCAAAAATATATTTAGACAAGTGTCTTTAGATACCACTTTCCCCAGGGACTCTCATGATAAATGACACTATTAGGGAATTTAAAGTTGTCAGGCAAAATCGTGAATTTTTTTTTTTTTTTTTTTTTGCCAAAGGGTGCACACACTCATCAGAGAGGGAGTGAGGGAAAGTGAGAAAGCAACCCCTGTGGCGGATGGTCGCACTGCTGTCCCTTCTCTTCTATTTCTCCCTCTGGGGATTTTGGGCACAAATGCACATGTGGCCGACATGTTTTTCAAGCCACTGGTCAGGGACTATGAACCACCTGATTGGTCATATGGGATCCACCCACCTTACCATCAGGCCACTGAGTGGTCCCAAGCAAACTTGTTCTGAACATTTTTTTTTTTTTTTAAAGAAAGAAAAGAGCAAGCAGATGGTGTGGTGGTAAAGGTGGCTGGATCCCACATGGTGGACTTCGTGAATGAGTTCCGGAGCTGGTGGCTTAAAAATCATGCCGAGAAACCAGCAAATGGCATAATGGCTACGTTGCTGGACTCCCATGTAGTTGACTACAGTTCAAGTCCTGGCCCCAGTGGATTAAAACCTATGCCAGGCATGAGAGTGGTCAAAATCTTGGGAGAATGGAGGAGAATGGATTGTGGCGTGGCCATCCCCCTGGGGGCTAATTTCTTGCTTTCTATCTGTCTGTGTCTCTCTGGCAAGCACACATAACCTATGGCAAACATCTCTCTAAAAAAAAAAAAAAAAAAAAAAGAAAGAAAA